TTCAGAAACGCGTGCTGTTCCTAAGCGTCGCGACATCAATCGGTTGTCGACGGTGTTCAGTCATTGGATTTCACGTTTCGCGCTTAAGTGATTTTACGACCTCTTTGAATCTTGCCGCTTCTCTGGTACGTGTAAATTTACTCGGGCGAGCACGGACGTGTTAAGGAAGCCAGCAGAGAAGAGACGAGAAATTCTATTCGTTCACGATGTTCACAAAAGAAACGAGACAGTCGCGAGAGTAGAGCGCGATTAAATCCGTTAGCGATTAAGAAACGCATTAAACATAAGTACAGAATGAGCGATGAAAAAGAGACAGGTCGAGTAAGATTGAAAGTAGAGTCGATAAATCGAACATTGACCCTTTTTGGGATTCTTCCGCTCGTCGGGAAAAGTGGATGGACGAGTGCGAAGCGTACGAGTGTCGAGAAGTGTCATCGAGTCAGCCAACGTACCGGTGTCTGCACACGCGTAATGCCAAGGTACGAAACCGCGTTACATTCCGAGTTTCCCAACCGATGACCCACACAGAACAGTTTCTGGCACACGAACAGGATATACAGGGTGTCTCACGATTAGCGCCACCCTTTTCAACAAAATTATGCAAGTTGTGTAATTATAAAGTTGTGTCAACTTCAATGCAAAGCATCGAGTTGCCTAAACTTATAAGTGCACCTTCTCTTTCAAACGATAAGGTAAAAATTGTAAGTTCACATAAAGAGAAGGGTAAGGTGCACTATGACTGAGGTGCACTATATAATTGAAGTTATCGCGATTGAAATAAGCTTCACTTAAGAAGAGTATAATGTTACTTCTCTAACAATAAATGATAGAACTTAGACCAGGACCAGTGGTTTCTCTAATGACAAGGTTTGTGTACATTTAGAAGATTTCTCAAGATACTTATGTAGAATCTATACGTTGTCTTTAGAGCCAGGTCTGTGTACGCCCACAGGTGGCCTCGAGCATACAGACAGGTCTTACTGTATTTTACCAAGGTACGAACGTGCCTCGTTTAGAAACTGACTGCGCAACAGTCCAAGCACCGTTGTACACCGGATAAATGTTTCACGGGGCCTGGGTTACGACTGACCCGGCTCCGCTGTTGAAGGGTTCAAATTCGAACGTGACTAAACTGCTCGAGAAACTCGCAGCAAGTAGAGTCGAGAGCTGCGCTCTCGAGTAGAGCCGGGAAAGTCCACGAACGGGAAACCAGATTGGACACGAGCGGAGGATGAAAGTTGAAAGAGACGAGAGAAAGAGGAAAAGGAAAAGGAAAAGGAAAAGGAAAAGGGATCGTTGGAAAGGCACGGCAGAGCAAATAGAGAGCAGAGTATGGAGAAATCCTGGCTGCTGGTTGGTCCAGCGGAGGAGGGCTGTGCTCTAGCGGCGCTAGAGCATTTCGTAGCCGTGACTCGGCTCGAACACGACTAGGCAAAAGGGGGCTAGAGAGGAGAACGAGGTCGACGACCCTTGCACGTGGAGTACTCGAAAGTAGGCCACGCCGTGACATCACGCAAAAGCAAGATGGCAGCCGGGAAACGAGCACATTCTCACAAGTATGCTCGGCGTACGACTCGACGGAGACGTGGCGACGCCCGTGCAATCGAATCTTTTCCTTGAGCGAGGGTGCGTTCCGATATTCACCGTCGCCTCTTTCCACGACCTTCTCATTTTCTATCCCCACTCGTACTCGTTCGCGTTCTCCGTCCCCATCTCCGTCTCTCCGTCTTCTCGTTGTTCCTCAAACTCTCAACGAGTACGCCGCGCGATGCGTGTTAACATTCGCGCCCGAATATCCGTGGAACGCGTAGTTGCGATGCAGCTGCCAACGCAGTTGGTCACCACGGTTTCCCAACTCGGCGTGCATCGAATGATTACTACTCATTGGAAATTTCCGCGTGCAGCTCGTGAAAGTTATCTTCTGCGTCATTCGAAAACAATAAATATCCGTGAAACAGCTTAGCTTTCGTAAATATCGATCCAACGATCGTACCATGCTTTCGAGCAACGATTAGATGATAGAGATATCGTTCGAATCGCTGCCGGAGAACGTATTTAGCACCATTATCCACCTTGTATCGGGCATGTTGAGTAATCAGCGTTTATACGGACGCGCTGTGCACTCGACGCGTAATTGCTTCGCAATTAAGCGTTATACAATCGCGGGGAAACCAAAGCATTATTGCTCGCGATAGTAAACACGATCGTACGACGTTGGAACGACCGATCCTGCAAAATCGTTAGATGGATTTAGAAACGATACAATGGTTACGCGTGACGCGCATGCGCGGGTGCTAGCGCAACGCGTGCGCGCGCATTCATGGTTGCAGCCTGCGCATTGCGTTCTTTATTCGGAACGCGCGGGCGCGTGAACGTGAGCACGCATACGACACCATTGAATATTGGACGAAAGTCAAATTCATCTTGCATTATTTTAGCGTCCGTAGCAAGCCAATGGCTAGAGAGGAGAACGAGGTCGACGACCCTTGCACGTGGAGTACTCGAAAGTAGGCCACGCCGTGACATCACGCAAAAGCAAGATGGCAGCCGGGAAACGAGCACATTCTCACAAGTATGCTCGGCGTACGACTCGACGGAGACGTGGCGACGCCCGTGCAATCGAATCTTTTCCTTGAGCGAGGGTGCGTTCCGATATTCACCGTCGCCTCTTTCCACGACCTTCTCATTTTCTATCCCCACTCGTACTCGTTCGCGTTCTCCGTCCCCATCTCCGTCTCTCCGTCTTCTCGTTGTTCCTCAAACTCTCAACGAGTACGCCGCGCGATGCGTGTTAACATTCGCGCCCGAATATCCGTGGAACGCGTAGTTGCGATGCAGCTGCCAACGCAGTTGGTCACCACGGTTTCCCAACTCGGCGTGCATCGAATGATTACTACTCATTGGAAATTTCCGCGTGCAGCTCGTGAAAGTTATCTTCTGCGTCATTCGAAAACAATAAATATCCGTGAAACAGCTTAGCTTTCGTAAATATCGATCCAACGATCGTACCATGCTTTCGAGCAACGATTAGATGATAGAGATATCGTTCGAATCGCTGCCGGAGAACGTATTTAGCACCATTATCCACCTTGTATCGGGCATGTTGAGTAATCAGCGTTTATACGGACGCGCTGTGCACTCGACGCGTAATTGCTTCGCAATTAAGCGTTATACAATCGCGGGGAAACCAAAGCATTATTGCTCGCGATAGTAAACACGATCGTACGACGTTGGAACGACCGATCCTGCAAAATCGTTAGATGGATTTAGAAACGATACAATGGTTACGCGTGACGCGCATGCGCGGGTGCTAGCGCAACGCGTGCGCGCGCATTCATGGTTGCAGCCTGCGCATTGCGTTCTTTATTCGGAACGCGCGGGCGCGTGAACGTGAGCACGCATACGACACCATTGAATATTGGACGAAAGTCAAATTCATCTTGCATTATTTTAGCGTCCGTAGCAAGCCAATGTATTACAGAAATACGCGCTCACACGCGTGGCATATGTTCGTGAAAGAGAGAGAGAGTATGCGTATGTCCGCGAGAGCTAGAGCAAGAGAACTCGCGCGATTTCTGTTTGCATTTTAATTGCGATGATGTAAGCTCATTTAGATGCTCGCACAAAGGTTTCCTTGCACAAGTAAAGCGTTTGCCTACTTCGCTTTTCGAATTGGAAATTTCGGACAGATTGCGGTCAAATAAACGTATACGAAATTTTACTCGTGTATTATTGATTCGCGTAGTATGTGCTAAGTGTCATCGTTAACGTAATACACTATTACGATCGAAAGATGTAGAGAAACTGATAAATAGATAGATTATTGTAGAAAAACGATTAAACATCTTCGAACCGCTGGAGGTTGGCAATTGTTGGCCATAAAGTACAAAGTCTAACGTAAACTATTTGCAGTGTAATTACGATGATGTAACGTGCAGATTTTATCAAGAAGTTTTTATTTTACAGGCGATAATTAAAAATCTATTACTGTGAATAAAAATGTATTGTAGAACTCGATTAAATTTTATTTATGTTGTAACTGGAAATCTTCATACGTTTGAAAATATAACGTTATATTCTACAAAGAATCACTTAGGTTAATCATAACACATATAATATATGCATTAATCCTAAACAAACGGATGTGACGTCATGGCAGCCATACGATCGAATTTATTCTACATGTACGTCTTACATTATGGTGTGTAAGACATGACATGATTAACTAAAACTTATAAGTATACTTACACTTCTTGGAAGGCTGTGAAGACTGTTATACCGTGATTGAGTACACACTTTTCTGATAAACGTAAAAATGAGATGTTAATTAAAATTTACAAGAAACTTGCTAACCAACCCGCGAAACATAAATGTCACTAATGTGCTAATGAACCGTTTGGTGTCGCTTTGAAGTTCGCTTTATATACCATTGGCGCCATCTTACGTTCACTGTCGACCTAAGAAACTTTGCAATGAACGAATGTATAAAGTAAATTAAATTTAATTGTACATTTGTATAATTGACTAACCCTATATTACTTTATCCGTAACAATGTTATCATGATAAATAATATATGAATGCAAATAAAATACATATGTATCGTATTACGTAACCTTATAACTCGAATAAAGGATAAGCAGAGACATCTTACAGAATTTTCAGTAAAAGTAAGTCAAATGATAAAAATGGTATTTTTAATGTCAAATGTTGATAAATTTTCAAATGAATAATAATGTTCCAACAAATAAAGTACATTCCAAATATTTTATCTGAATATAACAAAAGAGCGAATATTTTTATACATTGTTAGTTATAAGACAATTATTATCTGCGTATGGTAACTTACGTGTAAAAGAAATTGCATACTTAATCAAGATCGTGTCGAGTCGTAATAGTTTCTGTTATGTTAAATGCAGTTCAGAATTTAAAATGTTAATTGCATAATTACCATAAAATATATAAATACATATGTACGTGGTGTCTTTCTAACAATATTAAATGCGCATGCGTATCAACTCGTGTATATGGAAGATTATTTCTGTTTGATAAAACTTTACCGACTCGACAAAGACATTCCAAACCGCAAACTGTAGTAACGTCGTCGCCATTTTGTAGTGGTGTTTGAGACGTGAAGATGCTGTTTGTTTCGGTGTTTTTTGGGAACTGAGAATTTAAGGGTCACATTCGGCTTGTACCTGAAAAAATGACGCAGTTTCTGCCACCGAACTTGTTAGCTCTTTTTGCTCCGCGAGATCCCATACCGTATTTACCACCCGTTAGCAAGCTCCCGCATGAGAAGAAGAATGGAGGCTATATTGGCGTTGGAGGTTTTCTTAAATACTTTGAGGTAATGTAATGAAGATATAACGTTTACTTAATCCCTCTACTATTCAAATTTATCTTCTGTTGACAAATACAGTTAATATTGATAATACGTACTGAGAATACGCTACATCTGTTGTGAATAATTGATTGAAAAAATCATGCATGTTTTTAATAGGATCCTAAAGATACACCACCACCGGTACGCGTAGAGACCAGAGAAGAACGCTTAGAACGTAGAAGAAGGGAACGTGCAGAACAAGTTGCATATAAGTTAGAACAAGAAATCGCGGTATGGGATCCTGCTGGCATTCCAAATGTAACGGCAGACCCCTTTAAGACTCTTTTTGTAGCTAGAATAGTGAGTATCGTTTATAATTAAATATGTAAGGTAATGTAAGTAAAGATACATCAGTTCCATTTTCCTTTTTTCTAATTAGAACTATGATACGTCAGAGTCCAAACTTAGGAGAGAATTCGAAGTCTATGGGCCAGTAAAAAAGGTAAGCGAACAAAAATATAAATATCGTTTCTGTATGTTGTAGAGTTTTAATAATGTAATTTTACTTTTTAGATAGTGGTAATTCACAATACTATAAATGGCAAGCCTAGGGGATATGCTTTCATTGAGTATGAGCACGAAAGAGATATGCACTGTAAGTAAAGTCGGAGAAACGTAATCCTTTCTTGAGAACCTCAGTGAGTCCATAGTCTGGAGTTTCACCTTACTTAGCGTCACTTCCAGCTAGATATAGTGGGGCAGGGCTATAGTTAGGCTACCCATTTTCATTGGTACTAAACCAGACGGTATGGGGGGTCCCGCCATACATCCATGCAGGATTACCATTCTGTAAATGCATATATGGTAAACGAATCAACCGAAAAAAGAAATATTGGCTGTCTTGATTAATGCAGTTTTTATCTTGTTCTTGGTACAGCGTGGTGGCCGCTGCCGGCAACTAGTGCCGTTCACTATTCCATGCAAAATCCCTGAACCTGCCTGATATGATAGGTTTGTATGTGTGGTAAGATCCAACATACAACAACGTTTGTTAGCGTCTATGCTTACCCTATTTATCTTGTCTGATTTTGTTAAAACTTACGGTTCGAGTCATACCCCTCCGGGGTAGTCTATAGTCGTGGCCACACTCTTAAAGTGCTGGGAGTCAGGAAACTTTTCGGTATACATTTATATATATATACATATACACTTTTGGGCTGAAATTCCATATTTTGATTCGAATAACGCGGTTTGCAAAAGTTAGCATTCTACATTGAAATTGATTGGTGGGCTTGTAGGATGAAGGTTCAGGGACACGCTCCGCAAGCAGTTAGATTTTGTGCCTGTACATAAAGGTAGACTACAAGTATCGTAATCAAGCTACACGTAGGAAACGTTCGAAAGTCTTCAGACAAAATTTAACCGCATTTTCTGTCAATAATGCATTAACGATTACGTATCATTGGGTATACACGAGATACTTTATCATGGCTGTAGCACCTGTTTTCTTTTTCTTTTATTTTTTTAAATAATGGGTCTTTACTTACTCGCAGTCGTATACTTGACTCGTTGCAAGTCTGTGCAAAAACGTGTACCAAGCGAATTTCGGGCACCGTATGGATTCTACGAACAAGAAAAGAGAAGAAAAGAAATGTTCTCGTTAGGTCTAGTACCAAAATGCATGTTCCAAGCTAATCGACTATTATTTCTTAATCATCTTATTTCGTCGTTGTTTCATTTGACTAAAATTTAAAACTTAGCTTAGTAATCATCTTACTCGGAAGGTCATCTGATCATACATATTCTACTTCGATCGATTGTTTACATTTAAGTCCTTGAACATATCAATTTCGATATAGAATACTAATTTGTCCTAAGAATCTGATTTCGGGCCTTTCCATCTTTTTTATATCAGTCGATTCGTAACGCGTGCATAAACGGAAAAGAAAAGAAAGTTGCCCTCGATAAACGAGATAGAAACATTTCTCTTAACGGTACGTTAAATTTAATTGTAAAAGATAGAACACAGTATAATGTAAAGTATAAATTATACGATGCTTGCGCACGGTTTGGTTCGTAAGTAAAAAAAGAAAAAAAGCGCACCAGGTAAATGCAATGTAAACTTCTTCGGAGATTGAACGAACATATGAAGACTGGGCACCTTCCCAATGAATAGCATACGCGCTGGCCTACTCTATGCTCGCGAGTCTCTTACAAGTTCATTTCACGATATAAACGTACTTCTAAGATTTGTGTTAACTTCCGTACGTAAGTAGCCGCGGTAGGTATTTTTGTATCTGCTATACTTTTTTTTTTGAACTTTACAAACGTAGATTTAAGGTACCGAAAAATCCGTACATCCTTATTACTGATTGATGCGTCGCGAGCGTAGACGCGTGAATTTTATACGGTAAAACGATCACCGTACGGTACGGATATTGACGATTTTCAGACAGCATCGTAATTGCAGTATCATTTTATACTTTGCTTTGTACGCATCACGTATGAAACGCGAGTTTGGAAACGCCCTAACTTTTTTTCTCCGCGACACGTACTCTGATTGAATTTTACATTATAAAATAACGCGCGTTACGTTTAGTACGCGCATAATCAGGAATAATGTGTACTGATACCTTACGACCCCAATTATGTCTTTGAAAGAAAGAAAAGAAACAATCTAACTTGATCCAAACATAGCCAGAGATTTAACGGATAACGATTCGCACGTAGGTATATATACATACATATATGGCAAATGCTTGGTTCGACACACGGTCACGTCTGTTTTGTGTTTTCGAAATTCTGATTTCTTGGATTGTCCTTGCAATTCTTGTCTCTATATTTTTTCAGTTTTCGTGCTTATCGAAATTTCACGGTTCGTGATCGAAACTTATAACCACTTGCGACGGTTGTATTCTCTTTCAAAAAAGTAAATAAATAGAGGTGTTTTTTCTCTTGGTCGCGACGTTCACAGTATGTACAAGTCGAAATTGTTTTCAGAAAAAAAAAAAAAAGAACGAAAGAAGTCTTTTTCTTCTGCCACCTAAGATTAACTTCCCCTGGGACAGTTAGAAGTTCCATAGAGTATTTAAATACAGATAATGTAGGAAAACGAGTAAGTGGTAATTTTCAATCGGTACTTTTAGCTGCTTATAAGCATGCGGATGGTAAGAAAATAGATGGTCGCAGAGTGTTGGTCGACGTGGAACGTGCTAGGACGGTGAAAGGATGGCTTCCGCGAAGGCTCGGTGGTGGACTCGGTGGAACCCGAAGGGGTGGGCCTGATGTGAACATTAAACACTCTGGTCGAGAGGATAATGAAAGAGAACGAGAACGGTATCGCTTAGAACGGGAGAGGGAGAATTCTGGACGCCTTGACAGAGACAGGTAAGAATTCGATACAGTTTACGTATTCGATGCAATAAAGCGATACACTAGTCGCGGGTCCAGTTATATTAATTGTTTGTTCGTGTTTGCAGAGATCGCGATCGTTTGGACAGAGAGCGTAGAAGGTCGTCGCGCGATCGTAAGAGAAGGACTAGAAGCAGGTCACGCGATCGAAAGCGCAGACGTAGTCGCGATCGTTTACCTGATCCGGACATCGAAGAGATTCAGAGGGATGAACGGCCACGCGATAGAAGGGATCGTGATCGCGATCGCGATAGAGACCGGGATCGTAAGAGGAGACGTTCCAGGAGTAACGATCGCGATCGTGACAGAGATCGCAAGAGGGACAAACGCGACCGTGACCGTGAACGTAGAGATAGAAAAGATAGGGGCGATCGTCAAGAGGAAGATACGAAAGAGATTCGAATCAAGGAAGAGCCTTTGGATGGTATATTTCTTTTATATTTGTCTCTTCGATTAGTTTCTTTAAATGTACTTAACTTTCACGATGAACTTTTCAGATTACCCTGACTATAGTAACACCTTCTCGACGTCTGGATCCTACTTTACCGCTGTAAAATACGAGGAAGATAATGATCAAGAAGTGGAAGAGAAATATAGAATTCCAGAAGGTCGTCCAGATCCCCCTCCCTACAATAATTATGATTCCGTGCAAGATTATTGATCTCGATGATATTTCTTAATAACGTTCTTTTTCGTTACCACGCACGACGAATTAACGCAATTCTAAATGACGTATTGTATTTCCTATTGTTATTAGTGTAATATCGACTCGGCCATATCGAGTATCCGATTTCTGTACACCATCTACAGCGACCAGATACTCGGTAAGGATATTGCAAGGTAAGCAGGTCTGGACTACTGATTTATACGCAGTTAATTTCTATACGGCTGATCGTAACGTTTCATATTATGATTGGCACGAAGGTGATTTCCGGTAAAATGAATTTAGACGCTTCACAATATTTAACAGAAGTACATTCATGAATTGCAGTTGTTGTGTAGCAGTCTATGCGAAGCCTCGCAATATGGAACTAAAAGGTCCATAAGTATACAAACTTGATTACCGCTATTATTTCAACTCGTCTTGTACGTGTAAATAAGTATATGCGACATCATTACCACGCAAATTTCATTCTTTCATGACTGCTGCATGTATATTTATATATACGAATAAAGTAAACTACGCACTTAATTTTTTAGTTACCTTAGTGGGTTCTTCGTCTTCGTAAAGTATCGATTTGAAAAAAATCGTGTTCACTTTTAATGGTTGTACTCTCAGGTGTAGTTTTTATCCAACTATAATTGCAATAAACGCGTTGATTTGCTTTAGTTATCCAGAAATGTAGAATGTAATTCAAGTTCATAAAGGTTTATGAAAGGTTAAGTATCTGCGATGTTAATGTACCTACAAACGCGTATTACATGTTGCGGTATTGAGCGAGAGTTATTTTTTGTCATCTTCACCGTAAACGGCTGGCTCACCGCGTATTAACTGGACCAAATCATTCCGGTCTCTTACCTGTGTATGCGATGTCGATACAAGGATTAAAAATAGCGAAAACTTTCAAGAAAATCAATCGCAACGATAAAATTACTGCACTTTAAATAGATTTTGTTTAGAATAATTTTACAAACTTTCGTAAGCTAATCGTTGCGAGAAATTTTGTACGTTTTTATTTTGATTTTAATTTAACCATCGTTGCGTATCAACGAGACGAAAAACATGCGAATTTTGGCGTTATAGTCGAATCCTTTGAGTAGAAACATTTAACGAGTGTACCTCGAGTACTGAAATTAATGTTTAAATTAGAAATTAATGTACAGAATGAATTTCAAATTATGTATATTTTAATTGTTTTGCTTTCATTTCAGACTAAATAAATGGAACATACTTTAAAGGAAATCAAGCGTTTTCTTCCTTCCACTTTATTTTGTTAGAACCTAACGTTAATGACTAAGTAAAGATATTCGACTCGTTCAGCAACGTGAAACGTCACATGACTCGCGTAGTACTGGTTTGAAATTGGCGAATGAACTTCCGCAAGAAAAGCTGTAAATCGATGAAAATAATAAAGGAAGGTGTTGCGGGGGACTCGATCGAAGTATGCGATGAAAATTGACACAAATGGTAAGACATACTGATTATGGAACGATTTACGATATAGCGTGGTCGTAAAAGCCTTCAGAACATAGTCTCTGCTGCTACATAGCGAGGTCGTAAAACTTTCTGATCGATCTGATGTTACGGATACAATTAAAGGGAAAATTTTGATTCTTTTATTAATTATTTAATATTGTTACAGCATCTCAGGTCATAATACCTTAAAAATATTTACTAGTAATACAATTAGATTTTTTTGTCATTTGTTCGTCGAATAAGAAAATGAAAATGTAAAAAGTTTAATTGCTAATTTAAAAGACTAAGTAAACGAATTTTTCCAATCGATGACGCAGAATAATCTACTCAATATTTATTTATTATTTAGCTATAGGACAACGCGTATTCGCTTCGTCAGTTCCTGGCAGCCAACTAGTCAACCGTGGCACATTAAGCGTTTCGTTCTCCGGAAATTACAATCCCTCTGCAATAACTTCGAATTGCTTCTGATTCGACTATCGTCATCCAGCCTATCGTTCGCCAGTCTCGAAATCTAGCCTGGCAAATTGCTCCTGCACCACGACAACCATTCTGTTCGAACAGCTGCCCCGAGTTTTCTCGATATTTCCTCGAGTGTACCGATAATCGAGCACCTGTAGAAGCTCGAACGAAACCTCCTCCCGATTTCTCGCCCGTTTCTGCTTCTGCTCCGATTGCTGCTTAATCTGATTGCATATTACGAGCCACTTGGTTTAAAACCTTTTAAAGCCACCCCATTTTTTCGTACGTCCATTCAATCTTTCCTTTCTTTCCCGATGAAATTATACCAATTAACAATGCCTGCTAAAGTACAGGACTGTCCTTTTAAGCATCAAACGTTTTATAATCCCTTATTTTAGATTAGCCTCGATCAAAGGTTAAATTGTTTTTTGTACTTCGAGTCATCTCAGGAAATTGCACGGCGCAAAGTTGATTAAATTAAACGAGACAGGGACTGAATTATTTTTGAAAGTGGCCATCCAAGGGTAACTGGACTAGCCCTTACGGACATACTGCGGACTACTTGGTTAAATTAAGCGAATATTTTCCTCGATCCGGTAAACTGAAAAACCGCAGGCGTAAGTAACTTAACAAGTGGCTCACCTCGTTTACCGACTCAGTGCCTCTTACCCTCGGCCGTATAGTGCTTAATTATTAGTGGTTCAGAGTTCAGATCAGTTTCTCGTAGTTGGTGAATTTCAACTTTTCACTGAAACTATTGTCCTGTTCATAATTCGGAAGCCACCTTTCGACAAGACAAACCGTAAAACTTTGCGAACACGATATTTAACAAGGTACGCCGGCTAAGTTCGACGAAAGTTTAGACTTGACAGTAATTATTGCGTTAAAAGTAACATTCTCAAAGTTGTGACATTATACGCAAACTAAAAAGAATGACATAGCTCGGTCCGTGGCAATGCGACGAGAGTCTGCTGCACCGTTTATAGCATCCCCTTTTGTAATTCTCTTCTATTACTTGCACCATTTCCCACCGTTCCATAATACGTCTTTCGTTCTTCTGTTCTGAAAATCATGTTACTTTTCATCCTGTTTGATTTTACCGGAATAACGATCATACGATATTTTCGTATTCTTTCTATTCCCTTCGACCATTCATCGTGCATGTTTCTTCAATTTCGTTACGCTCCTTCGAGAGCCGTCACTTCGACTCGCTTCTTTTAGAACGAGAACATCTCGGTCGCTTCGCAATTGTCACGAATAATACGAATTTTCGCAATTAAGAAATTGCTTCTTCCAAGGGACATCGTTCTACACGGTCCGTTTCTTGTATTCTTGCGCTTCGTTAACGACGTTACAGCTTTCACGAGATTCGACTTTGCTGCTCCTTACACTCGAGTTGGAACATCTTCGTTCTCGTGGGAACTGCCAAAGGGGAGCAGATCGATCGTAAACGTAGATAATTAGTCTTTGCGCAAACAATGATCGAGAAGCATGAAGAGACGTTCAATAGAAACATCGATTCCGATCCTGGTTCTGCAATTTGTACGTGAAACTTAGTTATTGAATTCCACGGAACGTGCAGACGTCTTTTTTCGGGGAGGGGGCGGCTAAGTAAACCGTGAAAGGTTCTCGATGCTTCGCTACGTACGATAAGGAAAGAAATTAAAACAAGATAGATATCATAACTTTATATCGTGTTGAAACGAAGCTGCAGAAAATGCACACAATGAAAACATCTGTTACGAAAGAAAAAGTTCTTTATCTTCGGCAAAGTAATCCCGTTTGGAAAGATTAATCGGTCGACGACGTTCGTTCGCGAGCTTCGATACGAGGAATAAGCTCGAGAGCCGGTGGAATCGAATCGACGTTAAAGTTGGATGAAATGGAATTTCCGTGGAGCCCCCGGTCACATTCGTATCGCTTCGTTTCGTGATACCGTATCACGTGTATCCGTGGCGCAACTTAAGACTGCGCTTTCTCTACGTCCGTTCTCCAAGGGACGAACAAAATCAACTCTCTGTACAACTTAAATTTTCCGTAATTGCAAAAAGCGGAAATTGTCCGTCAAGATACGGTCGGTTCCACGACAAATAAAAGAAACAAGATGCCTTATGCGAAACAAGCTTCTTGAGGGTAGAAACAGAATCTGCAACGATCATAAAATTTTCGAAGCACTTCTGGTAAGCTCCTTATTCAAATAGTCGATCTTCGAATGGTACCCGAAGAAGAATTTCAACAAAACGAGTATGTATCTTTTAGAACAAAGGTAAATCGGAAAATGCTGTAATGCGTTTAAAACAAACGTTCTGGTTAAACGTATTTTCATGCAGGCATAATGTCAGTACGTCATGATAATGTTCCTACGATGGCACAAACACGTCGAAATTAAAGAAAACAAGCATCGTGGAGACCGTTCGTTGCAATCAAGCTTAGCAGGATAGAAGAGAGCAGAATCTCCGCTTTCAGGAAAGACAAACGTCACAAGAGGAGGAATTGGGAACAGAGGGATAAAAGAAACAACGAAGTAGCAGGAGGCGGAAGAAAATGGCACAATTACAGGATAAATAACAGAAAGAAAGGGTGCTCGAGATTGGGGGGGTAGACAGAACGCGTATGGTGGTTAGAGAGTTTTTGGTTGCTGGAGGGGAGAGAGAAAGCACGGCGCAGGTGTGCGCCGGTAGCCCGGTCGCTGGCATGGTTATTCCGCACGCCTTAGGTGCGCGTGTGCACCGACAACCACACTGTGTGTATGCCGACACGTGTGCTGGTGTGCGTGCCTGTACGGATGCGCCTGTGCGGCACACGATCGTAAACGTTGCCATCCACCTTGATCGCGGAAGAATGCCGCCACTACGAGTACGAAAGGGTTGATGCTTAGTGTAATCAAGTTGTAACAGATCCAGATTAAGAAGCGAGGGTAGACCCCGCATTCTCGAGTTAGGGATGCGATACGGAGGTCAGATATTCGAGTGCGATTTGATAACTTAAAAGGGTCGCAAAATGGTACTCGTTGTACATAGATTTCAAACTTATAATGAAAATGATTACGCAAACTGTTGGTTGATCTTAATACAAAATGAGCAATCGCCAACTACAGCGAACAATTGCTGACTTGGAAGTATATACGTAACGATAGTGTTTCATGACATAAAAGTACCGCAAAATGGTATTTATGATGTACCGATTTGAAGCTCAAAGTTTAATGGGAAAGACTACGAAAGTTGTTCGTTGATAATTTTAATATAGAACGAGTAATTGCCAATTATAGCAAAAAATGACCGACTTCGAAGCATGTAAAGTATTAGACGATTCGATGACATAAAAGTACCGCAGAATGGTACTTAAAATGCATCGATTTGAAGCTGGAAGTTTCACGAAAATTACCGCATAGATCCTTCGTTAACGTGCGTAACACAAAATGGCTGGTTGCCAGTTAGAGCTAACAATGGTTGACTTCGGAATATAGATTTGTCGTTTCATGACATAAAAGTATCGCAAAATGGTACTTGCGATACGCCGGTTTGGAGCTGAATGTTGAATGAAAATGATGTCATAAACATACCATTAATATTATTATGACAAAATGGCCAACAATGAATCATTCGGAAGCGTTATTCGATTATCGACGGTTCAATTCCCAACAGGTAACAAACATTTTCGAAAAGCGTTTGTTACACGAGAGAATCGCGTTAAAGATTAGCGTAACTAATTGATGAATCGAAGGTACGAAACGTTCGAAACATCTCGCACAGGTACTTTGGGAAATTAGAGGAAAGTGGAAAACT